AATGTTAATATTAATCAATGGATCATTACAGCTATTGCAACAGTAGCTCTGTATCCTACCTACGCAAACAGTGTGCCGTACGCAATGTGTTAATAAAAGTTATGAATATGCAATCAGTTGATATATAAATATTTAAATTTCTTATTAGAAATAATTATTTTAAATATTAAATAATTATAATTTTATATATTTGTTATAATAAATATTTTATTATGAAATACTTTCTTTAAGTGACATTATCACTTTTTATTGAATTGTTTAATTTTATTTTATTTATATGATCAAAGGTTTATTACTAATATTATGCTCATATAATTAATAATTAATTTTTCAACTACATTATTATTCTTTACTTTTCTATTTAAATTGAAATAAAAAATTAATCATGTATTTGACGTTCAATAATTTAATGAGAAAAAGAAAAAAAAATTATTATTATGATTACATAAAATTATACGATGTAATATAACGACTATTAATTTTAACGAGTTAATCTATAGATCAGTAATACATAATAATCAATGCGATTACGCAATATAATGAAATATTTATTTAAATAAAAAAATAAAAAAAGTTCACCTGGAATATTGAGCATCAAGTACAAGGGCTGGCATTCTAATGATAGCTTCGAAGGGTGAACCTAGTTTAATGTCTTCGACCGTATAGTTACTTGCTCCCCTTACATAAAGTTCTCGCAACTGAACCTTGTAACCGTTTTTACCACCTGTCAGAGAGAGAGTCAGCTCGTCCATCTGTTAAAGGAAATTATGTTTCACGTACATCATTCGAGATATTCAAATAAAAACATCATTTTATTTTTTTTTTTACTTCTTTTTTTTTTAAATTTTTTTATTATTTATTTATTTTGTGTGTGCAAAAATTCAAATAATATAATAAGACTTTTATTTCGTTAGAAAATAAAAAAATACATATGTTAATTTTTTTTTTTTTTAATACTTACACGAAAGGGTTCTATAGGAGGTAATTCAATTTCTGGTATGCCATCTTTCAAGTATGGTCTAAGATGATGAAGAGCATCGATCAAGCAACTTTTTAAATTAGGATCATTTCTAGAACATTGTTTCACGTATTCGGCTAAAAAAAAAAAATATAATCTTTTTTTTTATTCATATTAAAATCGTACAAAGGAAAAAATAAATGTTGTAATAAATCGTTTTTATTCATTTGGAATATTTGTTTCATTTTTTTTTTTTTTTTTTAATTTCACATCTAATATATCATACAACTTTTATAATTCATTTATTAATCGTATTTATACATTTATTTATTTTTAATTCATGTAATTTGTAATAACATTAATTGTTATATAATATGTAATTGTATAATTGGTATTAAAAAGAAAAAAAATATTCCGAATATAAATGATATTTAACATTAAAATCAATAAGATGAATAAACAATGTTCATATAACTCGTGAAAATAAATAATATACGAGCATGATTTAATGGCTAAATTCTCAAGGATCTCTCTCTCTCTCTTTTTATAACTACGTTGATTTGAACTTTCACCGATTTTCCTTAAACGAAACATACAGCGTACTTTTCAATCGTGTCCACACGGAAGTTAATGTTAAACTCGTTGGTCAAATTACGTTAGATCGATCAAATTACTTACGATTAGATTCCAACGATAATGTTGTCATACTATACACAATGAACAGCAATCCTATTAGTTGATTTTTTATCGACATCTTGAACCCCTTTTTTTTCTTTTAACGAAAAATTTTATAACGAGAATTTGATTCTCTTTACAATATTAAAAATCAATCAAAGTTTAAATGTTTGCTCGAATTTTTACACCCCCAAAATGAAAGTTGAAATTTTCTTTTAACAATGTGTACGAAGGTGATGATGATAACAATAATAATGATAATTATAATAATGACGATGATTATGTTGCTTGAATTATTATTTCGTTGTATCCTTTCGACGAGTATCTCACAAATCGCGAATACCTACTAAATGGCACTGCTAAACTAAGACTGTCTGTGCAAGAGGGCATTGACAGATGCTAGATCGTTGCTGCACTCGGATACTTTCACTGCTGCAACACGCACCTGCGCCTCTTTCGTCGTATTTTACTTGAAAAAAAAAAAAAAAAAAAAATAGAAAAAGGCAAAAAAATAATAAAACACGAATTACTTTTTGTCCCTAAATTCTTTCTTCTTCTCACATGAGGATAATTTTTCAAACGTAATCAAGAAAGAAATAATAATTTCTCAAAAAAAAAAAAAAACACAAAGAAACAATTGAAAGAAAACAAATTTAATCGTAAAATTTTTTAAATAATGATAAATACTACGATGATATAAAATTATATTAAGAATGAATGATAAATTTTGCGAGTATAATTTTGTAGAAAAATAATTAAAATATTAAAAACATTAAGAAAAGATTTATGAAATAATCGAAAGATGAAAAACGTAAGAAACTACAAATTCACTGTTGAACTGTTCGAATGTTGCGATATGACTCTTGGAAATTTCGTATGTGCGAACAAATAACCAACTTTTTATACTTTGATTTGACATTGAGCATAAAAGAATTAACATGTGCGCATGCGCGTTCATCGATGATTAATTTTTGAAATATGCAATTTTTGAAAATGATAGATGTACGAAAACTAAACACACCATTGAATTTAATATCCTTGAATTTAAAAATAGAAAAGAAAAAAACATAATCATAATAATGAATCATCGACTAAAAAAGATGAAGAAAGAATATTATTTAAGTACAATTTGAATATGAATTGTTAAAATTGTTCATCCTTCAAAAATATTATTATTAATAATTAATTAATAAATGAAGAGAGAAAGAGAGAGAGTAAGAACTTGAAAAAAAAATATATTTTTTATGTATGAATAATATATTACAAATAATAGATTAAATAACATATAATAAAAGATAAATTTGTGAATCTTTAAAGATGTCTCAATAGAATTTGATGAATAATATTACGTCATATTACAAAAAATATAATCAAGGATGAAGTATAAGCATAAAATAAAGGATAATAAAATAAAAAAAACTTGAAAATACTTCATTAGCATTAACGATAATAATTCTTAGAAAAAATATTCTATAAAATACTATGATTTTTTTGCTAGATGGTAACTTGTTTTTGTCGATAATATATACATCCTATATATATTTTTTACATAAATATACATAACATAAATATAAAACTATTAGATGAAAGTTATTTCAATATTTCAACGTAAATATCGAAATATTTATTAAATAGAGAAATTATTTTGTTGGTCGAAATGAAAACCGAACTTGTCCCAGATTCGGTTAGACTGGTTTTTCAACATTCTCCATTTATGTCTTCTTGTTCTACAGCAAAACGAAACTCTTGATGTGAGAGTTCCTAGGATTGTAAAATCCATGAAACAGTCACGAATGTAATTACGTTTTTATTTCAAAAACTTTGACACAGATTTATTTATCTATCTCTCTTTCTCTCTCTCTTTCTTTTTCTTTCTCTCTTGCTCTAAAATAATAGTTTCAGCCTGATGAATGATTTCACTCGATAGCAACGGTGTATTACTGGGTTGCATTTATGCAAGGGGTAAAAATAATTTTTCAAAAATATATTTGGATATAGAATTTCTACAAATAATGTATATAAGAATAAACAAACGGGTTCATAAAATTAATAAAATTAATGAGAAAATATTAGGAATTAAATTTATATTTATATTTATATTTTATTTAATAAAAATGTGATAAAAATAAGTTTAGTAAATGGAATATTACGAAATGCGTTTGAATTTAAATTGATAAAACTGAAAGTATTGAAAAAAGAGAAAGAACGAAAGATTTAGGAAATAGTGAATGATGATGTGTATATTGTGTTGCCTTCGTACAGGGGTAAAAAGATTTTCATTAGAAAAGATCTTAATATGTAATGTTAACAAATAATAGATATGAATGAATTATTAATTTCATTAGTGAAATCGATGAAATTATTAAAACACACAAAAAACGAAAGTATAAATTAACAGTAAGAGAAAAATGACAAGGATGCATTGTGGGTTGCCTTCTTACAGGAGTAAATTATTTGTACAAAAGATTTGATAAAAAAAAACAAAATTGGACCAAATAATATATTTGAATAAACGTATAATTATTGCATTTAATTAATAATTAAAATAATTAAAATACTTCAAGAGCAAATTTATTGAAATTTTTTTTTTCAAGAAGTTTACGAAATACAAAATGACGAAACGTTCAACAAGGGGATTTACACATCGCAATGTCAAATTGAAAGTTACATTAAAATAGACGGAAAAGATTTGAAAAGATAAGAAAACTAGTCGAGAATTGAGAAAAAGAAATGAGAGGAAGGGGAAAAAAATACAAGTAAACACGTTTCAATTAAATTAGAAAAAAAAAAAAGAAAAAACGAACAAAACGATCGTGATGTTTCACACGAAGCTAATATTACTATATAATTAAAACTTGTTAAACAAGTGTGGAAATAAGTTTCTTTATGAAAACTTTTATCGTTGTATCAATCGAGCATTAAGATCCAACCGATCTTTCCAGCGTAATAATTATATAACATCGACCAAAAATGTTACCAGAAAGTATGGTACGTTAAAGCTGATTCTCAGATGCACCGTCGAGAGTGAAAGTGCAAGGAGTGTTCGCGTATGCTCGAATACGACGAGCATATCACAGAGTAATTCGTTTATTTTCTAATAGTAGTGACGTTAAGTTTTGCAGTAAGTATATAATAGAATCGGAAGTTTTGAATCCATGAGCGAAAGATGTATGTATATGTGTGTATGAGACTGAACGAAACATAAGAGGGAGTGAGTATTGCAAGATTTATTAAACATTGTCGAAACGCCTATGAAGTTTGTCAATTTATTCATTTAATTGTTCCTTATGTGTGTGTGCATGTGTTAAGATATGCTATTTAAACAAATAATTATAGACAAATGAAAAGAAATTTTGAATTAGTATTCGATCTTGATATTTGTTTTATAAAATATTTTACGTTTCAATTTTTTTTATTCATGATAGTAAATTTTTGGTATTAAAATTTATTATGACATTATTAATACTTGTTTGGATATATTTAAGAAATTTAGAAAATTATATTATTAATTTAACGAGACAATCAAGAACAATTATTCAATATTTTCCATCAATTATGAGTTCTATGTTGAATCTGCTTCATGATTGGATTTTATCTGAACTGGATTTAGATTCCTTCTGAAGGCGCTTCGATCGTGCAGATTTTTTTTTAAATTCTTGCCCGGTCTTTGTTAGTTCTCATAGTCTCTTACTCCTCTTTCGTCAGTGATTCAAAACTCAATTTTTTTTATGTTCTTACTGATTTTAAAAATAATCGTGTAAAATGATCGTCATTGTGAAAAAGTGTATAGTAGTCTACGTTGTATTTTTTATTTCCTGGGGATTTGCTTCTTCCGATTTTGGTGAGTAAAACATAAAAGATGAATTATTTATAATGGATTTTTTGCTTTAATTCGATGAATTTTTGTTTCTTTTAATAAAATTATTCAAATCTTTCTTATCAAGGATCATTTGATTTTAAATTTGTTAAATTCTCATAAAGATTTTTATTTTAAACAACTTTTGTTTTTCAATTTTTAATTACACATAGAAACACAATTGACACTTTGCAAATTTTTGTAATAAAAGAAAAAAAATGATTACATTAACATTTTCTGAATTGTTAAATATAATTAAATGCTAGAAGAAAATAATAGTATAATATAATATATAAGTATAATAAAATAATAGAGTATAATATGAAAAATGTTTTAAAAGGTGTATTTATAAGTTCAAATTAATTTTTTCAGTTTCTAATGTAATGTAGAATGTTTATAACAGGTTGTTTATATAACAAGGATTCATTAATTATTCAAATAATTTGATGAATAAGTTCGAAAGTAACTATACACGCATACATAACCAGTAGTTTACATACCGTATATAAGTAAAATTGCGAAATTATTGAAAACGACAGGAATAGCAGATTTCTTTTAAAAGAATCCGTACACGTATACAATAATTTGCATTTTGTAATATCTTAGTCATTTATTAATAATTGAAAAAGAAAAAATAGTTCTTATATTTTCATTGAGTAATTTATTTTTAGACGAATTTTGTATTTTTATAATGGAAATAAAAATTTGTATAAATGTTCATTTCGAATTTATTCATTAATAATCCTCGGATTATTTTTGAAAGTTCGTGTGTTGCTTTTTTTTATTATTCAATTTATTTTCTAGAACATGAGTCTTATATTCGAAGAAAAACGAACAATTTCTATCATTATTTTGGGATTATTTTAAAAATCAATTCATTTTGTCTACCTTTCAAAATATCAACTTTAACATAATTTTTTGTATTACGTAAAAAAAAGGATTCTTTTCGAAAATTTTGGGGAAAAAAATGACTTTTAATAAATCAATTATTCTATAAATATCCACATATATAAATATAATCATTGTTCTTTTAGATGATCATTTCAAAAACTGTCATCCAAACGTAGCCGGTTTTGACGTTTGCATACGAGAAGCATTAAATGCGATTCGATCATATTTCAAAACTGGATTACCACAATATAATGTCGCACCATTCGATCCATTTTTTGCAAAGGAGATTACCGTCAAACGAGGGGTTTCAAGTTTTGGATTTATTTTGACACTTAGAAATGTTTCTGAAAGTGGATGGGCCAATAGCAAAGTGACCAAATTTGTCAGCGATTTACCTAATTCAAAAGTAATATAATTTAATTTATTATTTGTATTCAAACCATATAGGATATTATATACACAGTTATATATTATTATTATTATTATTATTATTATTATTATTATTAATAAAATGTAATTGTATTATTTAAATTTTTATTAATTAAATTAATTAAGCTAATCAATTATTTTTATATTAAAATTCTAATTATAATATTAAAATTATTGGTTTATGTTTAAATTGTATTTCATTTTTTCAGATTGTTTATACGCAAAGTTTTCCGGAAAAATTTTTATACGGTGATTACGAATTTGTTGGTGGATTATTTGGAAAATCGATCTATAACAAAGGAAAATTTACAATGACTTTGTGTAAGAAAATAATATTAATAATATAACAATCTCATGGAATTTTTTTTCTCACCTTTTTATTTTAAGAATTGGAAAAAGAATTATTTGATCCTTCTTATCATTTCTTTTTCACAGATGATCTAATCCAAACGACGACTATTACAAGACCATTGGGTCAGAAAATTAATGTAAACATCGACGTACAGACGATAAAAGATTTGAAACTTCACATCACGAATCTTTTTCATGGACGAGAAATAATCGAAAGTATATTCGATAAAATAATAAATGGAGCTTGGCAACCAGGATTCGTATTAACCAGAGGAATTATTAATGAATTAGTATCGATTGCGTTTACTGAAATTTTTGATAAATCCTTCAGAAATTTTCCATTTGAAAATATCATCAAAAATAAACCTATTCGTACTTGAATCAAAAAAGTTATTTTATTGAGAATAATAAATGGATATGATTTAAATAAAATAAAAAGAAAATATAAAGAACCACAATTGATTTTTTTCTAAGCAAATATAGAAACGATTAAACTTTATCTTCATTATAATAAACATTAGTGCTAAATTTCTCTATATTTTTCTAACTTATTTATTTTTTATCACGTGTACTCCTTTCTTTGTATATTAAAATCATCTTAACTAATAATAAATAATTAATATACCAAATGGCAGATTCATTTATCTAATTATCTAATTATTTTAATCCTTTCGTTATTTTTCTTGTGTGTAACAAAATTATTTTCTTTTTTATCTATAAAATTGTCTATACAAACAAATCAATATAAAATGAATCATATTAATATTTATTTCTTCAATATTTTCTTATTATATTTAAAAATAAAAACTATTAAATATTTATAAAAGTTTTAAATATCGTATTAACCAATATTTTGACACTGTTGTGAAAAATCTTCTTTGATAGAAGCTACAGTTGTTTACCTTGAAAAGTTATCCGGTTATTGACCTGAGATTCTTATAAGAACTACCAGAAACCAGATTTCTTCTTAAGTTGTCCTCCTTTCATGTTCGAAAAGTCGAAATGTAAATGAAATATTCAAAAAATTTTACTTGAATATTCTTCAAGACAAAAATTGTACAAAAAATATTTACTTTTGTAATGAAACAATTTCTATTATTAAAAATTTTGTGTGTATGTTATAATAATTATAAATTTTATTTAAAAAAAAAAAAGAAATAATATTTTAAAGACTTCAAATAAAAAGTATATGTATATATATATATATATAGGAAAATAAATTTGAATCACGTAATTGCGGTATAAATTTGAGCCGATTAACGGTGCTTAACATACTTTTAAAATTATGACAGTTAAAATACGTTTCATAATTTTTTCTTTCCTTTTTATTCTAATTTTTCTTTTTTCTTTTCGATGACGTCTTTCATTTTGACGTCTTTCGTACGTGCTAGCTTTTTTTCATAGCGTTGTGTCTAGAAAACTTTTTTTATTACTTATTGTATCGGTAAAGAACACCCTTCATTCTCCTAGCACCATGAAACGTGTATAGAAAAAATCATTAACAATTTACGTCACAGCTACGTTTTTTGAATTTATTATATATATATATTTTTTTTTAAGCTCGTTGATATTACTGATTTTTTTTTTTTTTTTATTAACTCTCGTCCTACATTTAAACATTTCTAGATGAGAAAAAGAAAGTTTTGTAAAATATCTGATAAATCGTCAATGTATGTTATATGTATGCATATGTATACGAGTTTTAATTAACGATAATTAGATTATTTTTTTATTTTTTATGAAATTATCATCTCGATCAGTATATTTCAATGATGAGAAAAAAAATTATCATACATATATAAATCTGTTACTACATACTTGTTTATCGTGTGAATTATTTTTTATTAATGTAAATCATTGTGTGCCAATTATTTATTATAATAAATATCAATTTTTGAATATTAAAAATTACGTTAGATCGAGTATCAAAATAAAAAAAATAAAAACAAGAAATAAATGACTCAATGAAATGACCTAAAAAGAAACGTAATGATAATTGCAAATAGTTGATCTTGAAATGAATAAAGGTGTATATACATATATACATCTTTCTAATAACACACTTTCACTAATACAAGTCGTAACATAAATTACCGTGTCAATTAAAATACGTTTTTGTAGTATATATATATATATACATTATCGGTCGTTAAACTTGAAATTAAATAAGGATGGTTTAAAAAAGATGTAAATCAAAATAAAAGATGACTCTCTCTCTCTCTCTCTCTCTCTCTCTCTCTAAATAGAAATGTTTTTTTTCTCTAAAATACAAGTTTAGATGTCATTAAATCAATTAATGGATTTATTATAAATCAATTTGATTGAAATCAATTTTTCAAATTTTCTCGTACATTTTGTTATAACAAATATAAATAATTATTTTTATTGTAAATAAATTTAATTTTATATTAATTTTTTTTAATAATAAATAAAACAATTTAAAAGTAATATTATAAGAAAACAATATTTAAAATGAAGTGAAGTAGAAGGGGATAATATTGAACGCATATTTAGAGTTTCGAATTAAAAACCGGTTATGTCGTTTACTGTTAATCTCTCTTCAGTCATCAGTTGGTACCTCATTTGGTTCTATTTGATTTACATTTAATTTATGTACCATGTATATAATATATTCTTCGAAATTTAACGACGTGTACGTTTATGTCTTTTTTTTATTTTTATTTACCATAAAATAACAAACAATGAAAATACATTATTGATATGAAAGATCCAAAATCCGTCCCAAAAATGAAAAAAAAAAAAAAATAAACAAAAAAATATTAAATATTTTTCTATCCACCTTGACAATCTTTTTTTATAATTTTCCTTTCATTTTTATTTTCTACTTTTATTTTACGAATTAAAAATCAATTTTAAAGAAATTTTTAAAGTCATTTTAGCGACACCCTGTATAAACGCTTTAAGAGTGATGTCTTAAGTTGTGATAAATGATTCGAAAGACAAAGAAAAAAAAAAGGTCTAATGTAAATAAAAAAAAAAAAATAAAAATAAAAAGAAAAACAATTATACGGTTTCCAAGGAAAGTTAGAATTCATGGTAAAGATTTTCTTTCCCTCTTTCTCTTTCTTCCATTTCCTCTTTCTCTCTCTTTGAAGAGAAAGAACTATCTTCTTTCTTTGTCAGATGTGCCCTCAGCACTTTAACTGGGAGGGAGAGGTAGCTGAGAGGGGGAGGCAATGTCTTATAAGTCCATGAGGATTCTTTCGAAACGGTCATTTCACGTGTAGAAATTCGATCGGTTCGAAGTGTTCATCAATTGTTAATGAAGAAGAAACTTTTGATAATAATATTTGAGAAGCTATTATATTAATTATCACCTAAGAGAACTAAGTGAGAAAATAATCGAAATAATGATTCAAATAAATAGTCCTCGTGTATTAGCGTATGTGTGTATAATATGCTCGATTTTTCTTGGTCTCGTTGATGCCATTGGAAAATATCGTGGCCTTGAATTTTTAGAATCTTGTTCTAAAACTGATCCTGATTTAGAAAGTTGTCTTGAAAGATCTGTTAATGCTCTCGCCGAACATTTCCGAAATGGTAAGATTTTTGTATTAATAAATTTCATTATTTATATTTCAATTAGTTCTTATATTTGTATATACGATTATTCTATATATATTTATATATATATTTAATATATTATATATATGTATGTAAATTTGTTAATCATTGTTATTAAAATTATTTGCACGAATAAATAGTTATTGAAGGAGGTATATTATTCGTTAATGGGTTTGATTTAAATAAATATGATAACGGTTAGAAAGTTAGGACATCGTGTAAAAGAAGTTTGAATACCATTTAAAATAACATTTTCATTGTAATTGATTGATACATGTGCAGAAAACTTGATGAGAGTTGCTTTGTTAGCGGAAGCAGGTTATAACGGTGAATTCGAATGGTCACTTGTTGTCCTACATTCCAATTACTGTGTACGGCACTGTGTGTAGTATACGAACGAATATGAATTTATATATTCTCCATTGAAGTTTATGTATATTACTATTTTATTTGTTAATTAAATTTTTAATTTTATATTTTATATTTATAGGTCTACCACAATTAGGATATCCCGAGGTTGAACCAATCATTTTAGACGAACTTCATATAGCTCTCGGAGATGGTCCTAATGGATACAAAGCTCAATTTATGGATATCCATGCAAAAGGTGTTTCATCGCTCAAAGTTACTAATCTTAGAGCAAGATTATCCGATGATGAAGTACAATTGCAATTAGTCCTCAGTATTCCTAAAATTAGGGCTAATGCGAAATATAGGTCAACTGGCACACTTATTCTTGTTCAGGCCAGCGGTGCTGGAGATTATTGGGGAAATTATGGTATTATTATTTTTATTTTCTACTTATTTATGATATATAATAACAATACAATATAAAAAAATATATTTAATATTTTAAATTAATTTTATACGGGTCATATTTTACACGTTAATATTTTATATATTTAAATTAATTCAATTTTATAATGTTAATTACAAAATTTTCTAATAACATGTCTAACAAAAGAAATTGAATTAATAGAAAGTAATGTTTTTCTAATAATTATTCTAAATGATTTCTTTTTTAATATATACTAATTACATATTCCATATTTACTTTGCAAATCCAATAACGTGACCATAAAAAGTAAAATAAGCTTTAAGTACAAGTTACTAAACATTTAAACTTTCAGCTTTAATGTTAGAAAAATTGTTTACTTAAATTTTCACTATTATTCTAATTTTAATTATTCTAATAAAAAACTAAATTTTCTTGAAGTTTTGAAAATTATAAACACTCATATAACATTTTGTCAAAGTGTTTTATTTTATGAATTGATCTACGCCTGCTGATAGGCAACCCGAAATACACCGCTGTATTTACGATCTTAAGGGGTTATATACAGTTAGACGGCCGAAAAAAAGTGAATTTTCCAGAATTTTTTCTGAGAAACCTTTTAAATTTATTGATCCAAAAATTTATACACATATTATGGTATCTTTTAACTGTATTTTAAGACTTAGTACTAGTCAAAATATTTATTTGAAAAAGAGCTACAGCTGATCTCCAGGAGCTCCTCTCAAAAAAGACGTTTTGCGGTGACCACTATATCTCGGAACTGGATTATCTGAAATTAAAAAACCAAACAGATTTCGTTAAAATAATGTTAAATCTAGTAATTAATCGAAGGAATAAGCAAAATAAAATTTTTTGACAAAATGGCGGTTTCTCAAAAAAAAAAATCGATTCTTCACCGAAATTTCGGCCTTAAATTGTTTATAAAAAAAAAAATATCTATCGGAGAAAAAAAAACCTTCGATTAATTACTAAAAAATATATTTAAGAAGGTTGTGTTAAAATTTGAGACTAATCGGTTTAGCCGTTTTCGAGTAATGTTGGTCACCGACTTTGATAACACCATTTTGAGAAAAACGCGTTTAAAGTTTGTACCTTGTACTTCCAAACACTCTGAAACGCTTTTTCAAATTAGCTTGTAACTTTGAAAATATTCACGACGGAACGATAT